AAAAAAAAAAAAACAAAAACAAAAACAAAAAAAACAAAAAAAAAACACCTCTCTTTCCAATGTTAACAGTGATGTTCACAATTACATTAACTATTTTTTAAAATTCTATATAACCAAAAAGTGTAACTGGTTTCTCTATATACATGAAAGTGTGTTACCTAATGACTTCTCTTGAGGTTTTGTTAATAGTTTACTTTCAGTCAATCCTCTATCTTTAACCAAGTTTTCTTTTTCTAAAAGTCACTAGATAAGATTTCTCTGACTTCCTCAATAGTGCTAACGTATTTCTTGGATCTCTAAATAAGCCATCGGAAACTTCTCCAACTCTTCAATCCAAAAGAACTATGAAATCCTGATGAAGAATCTATACCATGCCTAAAATCCAGAAACTTTAATCAACAGACAATTACTTTTAAAAGGTTCAACTTCCAACTAAGGATACTGGTGACAGGATCTAAGAGGCCCCACAAGCAAGAGAAAAATTTTGCATTACCTCTTCTTTAATTTCTTCTTTTTCTTGAACTAGTGGTTTTGGCTCAGACTTGACTGGTTCCAGAGGTGGAAGGTAGTTCTTAGTATAGAGACTTTCAAACAGTTTGTCCACAAAACCTGAAGTTTCTAAGGAGAAGAAATAACATTTACATGTTGCGCAAACAAAAAACAAAAATTTGATAACACATTGTTAGGAAAGCTTAGGAAAATAGGACATCTTGTACACTGCTGGTAGGACTAAAAACAAGTCCTACCTTATGGAAGAGAATCCCACTTCCAGGTTTTTTAATCCTTCTGACCTACTTGCAAAATGATATATATGTAAGATTATTTGTTGGAGTAGGTGATAGCAAAAGATCGAAAACAACTCAAATTTCCATGAATAAGAGACTAGTTATATAAACTATGGGACATCTATACAATAGAATACACGGCAGTTGTGAAAAGAAAGAATACTGATAATGCCTGATCTCAAAGATGTTAAGAGTATATATTTGTATGTGTTTCTATCTAGCTGCATAAAAAAACTGAAAGGAAATAAAAACGGACAAAATTGTGTACTGTAGGTGGGAAGGAAGTGGATGTAAAACAGTTAAGAAACTTTCACGATTATACCTTTATATTGTTGGATTAAAGGCACTGCCTACTCAAAAAACTTAACTGAAATTTTTTATCAGCTGAAATGTTTATTGATATGAGAATGATATGAAACTAATTTTTTGTGTTTTATTTAAAGGTGCTCTGTTTCAAACTTTCTCAGACAATTGAATGGGAGAACCAGATGAATTTACTAAAAGTACTAATGTCAAATATTTATACTGCTTTTTTTTTTTTTTTTTTTTT